TTGTACGGGGTTGGAAATGGGGATCAAAACATTTAGACTCTCCTGATATTGGCTTGCACACACTATAATCAATATCCAAATATCTACATTTAGATACAGATCCCTTACATTCATACTGTGAGTGCCAGATGAGAGTTTGGGATATTTGGTTACCTGTTTTAGTAGTCTTAATGCAACTATCGCAATTCGGTATGTCTGTACTCCTACCTTCCTGAAAAATCATAAAAATACTAAGACACAATAAAACACATTATTCCTGAAATCCTCATTTTTCTTCGACCGTGCGATGGCCTCTCAGCTTCCCGATTGTGAGGGCTGCAAGGATGTTGTTCTTCTGATCCTCACTTTCCTTCACAGAGATCCCTTCAAGATACTCTGGCTATGACACGTAGGCAGGTGGTCAGGCTTTATTATGGCCGTCAAAACACCTACTTGATGATCTTTGTAGACTTTTAACTAGAATGTCTCGATATCCCCTCGTCACTCCGACTAAGTTGCACGCTTCAACCGGGTCCTGCAAGGATTCTCAGGATCTGTAGTAGTTTGCCAAGAGTCTGCTGCTGGTTTAACCTTAGAATGATGAATCCAAGGAGTCACTTCTGCCACCTTTACAGCTGTTGGGGTAGATAAAAGAACAACATACAAAGGCTAACAGGATACACCCCGAGCTTTAACTCAATATGTATTGGTGGGATATTACGAGCAAGTCCTGGAGGATTATTTTCTTCCCATACTCCTGGAATGTCAAATAAGGATTCATCACTCTTAGGGTTAACACTTGTCACTATGGAATAGAAGCGTCATTCTTCTTCCCTTGGCACCGATATCGCCATTATGCCTGGTAATCCCTTAAACTTCAGAGATGTTAATCCATTAGGTAAAAGGTTATCTGAGCTTAAAGCTTCGATAATAGATCTCGTCCTAAAAGTTGAATCGGACACTCTGGCATATATAGGAACTAATGCTTCACCACATGGCCTCTCAGAATACAAGTGCGACTCTTAAGAACCGGTCTAGCTGCACTTCTCCCAGTAGCTCCTATCACAGTTATAGTCTTCCCCGAAGGCGGAGCCACCATCTTAGTCACCACAGAATGTTCAGCACCTGTGTCGATCATGAAAGAACTTCTCTTTCCCCCTATTGCTACATCGACCATAGGCTCCGCTCGACCAAGTGGGATGGAGCCCAGTCGGTATCAATAGTCTTCCATGATAGTGTCAGCCAGACCCACAAAATCTCTATCCTCTCTTTCTCTAGGTCTCTGCGTGGGTGGATAGTATCTGTCTCCTTGAACACTTCCTCTACTATTCCCATCATTCCCTCTAAAACTTCCTCTTACTCTATAACTACCACTATAACCTCCTCGTACCCTTCTCTCTCCTTGTCTATCACCTTCATACTGCTCTCTCTGTGGACACTCACTCTTCCAATGTCCCTCCTTTCTACAATACGCACATTAATTCCTACTTAAAGTCCCTTGCTCAGCCTATTCTCGTCTCCTCTATTCACTTCCCTGTCTTTCTACACTTAAGATAGCTACCGCTAGCATATCTGCCTTTTTCCTCATTTTACGTTCTTCCTCCGTCTCCCTATTCATATATACTGTATTTGCAATCTCCATTAGCTGTATTATGGACATCCCTACAAATCCCTCTAATTTTCTGTAATTTCCTTTTACTATCACCTTGGGCCTGGCTGACAAATGCTGAGTCTATCATTCGGAAGTTTTCAGGGGCCTCTGGATTAAAGGGAGTATACAACCTATTTGACTCAAGCAGTGTCTAATATGGGACTTCGGCAAGGCTGCCCAATAATAGGTTCCAGTCTACGGGTAGTAAGATAGGTGCAAGGGGGTGAGCTAATTTTATTAGTCAGCATTTGGTGGATGAAAAAAAACGTTTTTGTTTAAAGTTTTAAACCAAAAACCTACCAGTAGGTGTCACCAGAGGGTAATTGTATCAAAATAATCTTTATGGGTCTAATAAGAAAACTCAACTTTTAATATATTTATACATAAAATATAACCTTATAGCAATAAATATATTAAAATAGGGTAAGCAATCCTACTTCTATCTGTTATAAACAATGTAATATCAATGTAACTCCCGAAGATGGCCAGTAGGTGGCTTAGAGTGCCTCCCTAAAGTCAAATGAAACAAATAGACTTTAATTAATTATGTCCTATTTTATTATTACTTATTTTAATCAATGTCCACCCTGCTAGCTAGGCTTGATTAAATCTTTAGTTCTAAGGTAAATTAAACATTTCAGTTTATAGTTTAGTAAAAGGGGACATTTTGGACAAAGCTGGGAGGGGCCCATTCAGTAACTAAAATAAAGACCAATATACCATCTGATACCATTGATCATTGATTAGGGGGAGGGGTAGTACAGAAATACAAGAGTTTGAAACACAGGAACAGATAGGTATGTGGGTAGGCGGGGACAGTAGAGCAGGGGGAGTGCAAATACTGACTATATACCAGTTTTGGGAGTAAGAAATGGACGTGGCTACTCTGGCTCTGGAGGATGTTTGGGGGGTTGGTAATCAGATGCCAGGGGGGGAGGGGATATCCAAAGCAGTTGTAATTAAGTCCTTAGTTCTGACCACCATATGGCTACATTGTTTCCCATATGACACAGTTTAATTCACCAAGGCAATTTTTCAACAAATCAGTTTCCAACAGTCAATTTATAGAAACTGATCATAGAATTCCAGCCTACTAGTTACAGCCACATGTACACCCTGCACTAAATTTAAGTGAAGACTGCTACATGGAGGCCATGCGGCCACCAGGACAAGCTACTCCCTACTTTTTTTTTTTTTTTTAAAACATACAAGACAACAGCCTAGTGAATCAGATTATTTCAACAGAACGTCTGATTCAAAAAGCTGTACAAATATACACACAGTTTCAACAGTCACACCAATCTCCTTATCACCAGCAACACATTGCGCAGTCACTAGGCCCAAACACACACACAGGATCCTCACATGCTCAACAATATCACGACGTCGCACACACGAAATTAAATCAAAAACCCACCAAAGACTATACACTTATCAATGTAACTATTATTCAAACCATACAACTATCCACGCTATTAATCCATATAAACTAACCGATCACATAACATTTGAACAAATTCATCTCTACAATTATCCGTACTATAAATCAACTCTTGACTAACCAACTATATCACATTCTAGTAACCTCATCTTTACAGTCAGTGGTTATGGTACAGTTAGTAAGTGGTTATAATACAGTTTTAAAGTCACAGATCAGTTAGTAACAGTTATGGTATTATACATATAACATAAAACAGCAATTGTTAGTAATTTTTACACAATGTCAGTGGTTATGGTACATGTCAGTAGTTATGGTACCGTGCGCTATTTTACAGTTATACACACAATTTACACTCCCACTAGACAGCAGAGCTCTAACTTTCTAGTAGGACATACAAGTTAACCAATTCACCAACTACAATATATTTAACAACATTTACAATAATCCCAACTATTCTAACTGGCCAGCACCTCGAGAGCTTTCGATCTATTTATACACCAGAGATTCGATAAGTTCTTCGCTGCCCAGACACCACGTATAGCGAACTAGAGGGCAGAATTTACACAGTACCCAGCTAGTCTATTAAACTATCAATAAGCTAGTGGCTGGATTTATAACAGAGCACACTTAGTTAAGATAGGGTGAAATCTAGCAAACTATAATATACAACAGAGTATGCTAGTCTCCCGGTCCCCCCGACCTAGCGAACAAAATTTACACCCTAGATACGCTAGTCAAGACAGGACACCGGTGTCCGACATGAGCTATTTACACCAGAACTCAGTCTGACCCAAACCACCTATATTAGACGGGCTGACTACAGAGCGTCTAATTTCCAGATAAGTGTTGCGCTTTTCACTTCTTCCTTCTACTGAAGGGGCCAATACCAATAACCGGTTCCAAATATAAAACCCCTTGTGGGTCTACCGCTCTAACGGTATCAATCTCACCTGTTAATTTCTGGACCTGGGTTCACTCATAGACGGAACAATCCGGGACTCACTGCGCAGAAGCCGATGATCTCCTGGACAAAAGGCCAGTGGCGCCGAGACGAAAGGAGGTCCACGCAGTAGAAGTCCAGGATTGTAGCGTAGAAGGTTTGGTAAAAGTTTACCGTCTCAAATCTCTGTGCCAGCTTCCGTGCGATGAGGTTCCCGGCCCAATTGCACCAGAAATGTTGCAGTGTAAGCATGCAGAAGCCAAACACAGAAATATTGGACACAGGTCTTCAGGAAGTAACAGGCCTTTATTCACATTACCGATCGGGTCTCAGATGAACTCCTGTTCCAACATTCTGAGAGACCAACACATAGTGTACATTCCTTATATAGCACTATAACTCCTCCCATTAATAGCTACACCCACATATACCTTTAACCAATCAATGAGCAGACTATAGACTTGTACATCTAGTCAAACCACATGGCTCATCCAAGACAAAGGAAATAAGTGCAATTTCAGTTCCTGCATTCCTGCACATGCTCAGTACACTGATGACAGTATCCTAGCTACATGTAGCTAACCAACTGACACAACATACACATATGCCACATGGAGATTTTGGCCTACTAAATTTTAACCATGCTGGAATCCCATCACAAAAGAACTACATTAATTGCCTAAATGATATCTCTCCTGAAGCATATGGATGCTACCTACTACAAGACAGCACTTTTATTTTAGATTGTAAGCTCATGTGGCTATCTAGCTAAGTACATTGAATACAAGTACTGTAAATGCTAGTTGCTACTGACCAAGCTCCCCTTTTCCTTTTCCACTTCCTTTGTGTATACCGTACAGCATTTCCCCTAAATTGTACGGCGCCGCTGAATATGTTGGCACTTCCTAAATTCAAATTATAATAATGTGCTGCCCATCAGCATACACAAGAGATATTTGTGCACAGAGATCACAAGGGAATCTGACACGCCTAAATGTACATCATGCATTCACGTTTGTCTGCTTTTTTTATTGTCTACTGATGGGATTCTGTTAGTATATAGGATTTTATGGAGTATGAAGCATTCTTATGCTGCTGCAGGAGGGATCCCAATAAAGGACTCAGGAATTCCCCCTTAGCCAGATATTTTCTGATTTCCTTCCTGTGACATATTTATTATAACCTATTGCAGAGCAGCACTTTTCATGCCCTGCCATCAACATGTCAAAGAAGAAAACAAGATTAATGTATCACCATGGAAACCAGCTCTGCACCGGACATAGATGTCCGCCATTTTTTGGGCGCTCGATAGTAAAAGGAAGCACCGCCCCTTAGAGGCGTCATTTAATGTAATACCGCCCATGGACACGCCCTCTTGGTAATAACTCCTCCCATAGCCCTTTCAGTGAACGTCCCTCTCCAGACCAAGTGGGCTAAGCCCCGCCCACGGGCACGCCCCCACTCCGTCCTGAGACGTAAGCCCCTCCTCTTAGCAACAGGAAGCCTCCTTGACAACGAGAAAAAGTTTTTAAAATCTAGTGCAGATTAAACTGAAAGTATAGGGACTGGCATGTGAGGGTGAGTGGGTGCAGGTATGGTATATAAAGTATAGGGACTGGCATGTGAGGGTGAGTGGGTGCAGGTATGGTATATAAAGTATAGGGACTGGCATGTGAGGGTGAGTGGGTGCAGGTATGGTGTATAAAGTATAGGGACTGGCATGTGAGGGTGAGTGGGTGCAGGTATGGTATATAAAGTATAGGGACTGGCATGTGAGGGTGAGTGGGTGCAGGTATGGTATATAAAGTATAGGGACTGGCATGTGAGGGTGAGTGGGTGCAGGTATGGTATATAAAGTATAGGGACTGGCATGTGAGGGTGAGTGGGTGCAGGTATGGTATATAAAGTATAGGGACTGGCATGCGAGGGTGAGTGGGTGCAGGTATGGTATATAAAGTATAGGGACTGACATGCGAGGGTGAGTGGTTGCAGGTATGGTATATAAAGTATAGGGACTGGCATGTGAGGGTGAGTGGGTGCAGGTATGGTATATAAATATAGGGACTGGCATGTGATGGTCAAAGGCTGGGGCCACATACCTCCCAAGTGTCCCTATTTAGGAGGGACAGTCCCTAGTTTGGGCTCAAATCCCTTTGTCCCTCTTTTTTAGGAGTTTCCATATTGTTCCTCTTTTTTATGAGTTTCCATATTGTCCCTCTTTTTTAGGAGCTCTATATTGTTGGTGTGTTTGAGTGTATTACAGAGCTCCACAGCATTAATACTCCCAGTAATGTGTCTTTAAACTACAATAAATGTGTTTAGAAATCAGTCTGGGAAAATATAACACATTGTTTTTGTTCTAAATTACATTTTAGTTCCATAAATTGTTATTACTAAATCACCAGAATTCTCTTGGCATGTGATGATTGGTAAATACAGGAATTCTGTGTATATGTGTTTATATTATAGCCCAGGTGAGAATGCTTACATTATATTTATAATCCTCTACAAACAAATTTGTTTTTATTTTAAGTGTAAAAAAGAAAGAGCATCATAAAAATGCTGGTAGAGAGCCCAGCTCAACTAGGTAAAGATTATAAATAGAAATGCTAACTTGAGTTCGATCGCAAGCTCTTGAGGTCAGTCTGTGCAGCTTTTGCATAAGGAGACCGGGACAAACAGAGAATGGACTCAAGAGCTTGCAATTTAACACAAGTTAGCATTTCTATTACAAATCTTTACCTTAATTCAAGTAAAGTTTATATACTGAAATGCTAACAAGTTAAATTGCAAGCTCTTGGGGTCATTCCCTGTAGCCTTTGCATATAATGACCAGAACAAGCAAGGCTTTTTAAAGAATATGGCTTTGTACAATGTTTCTCTTATCCCGTTTCCAAGGTCTTAAAGGTTCATGGAGGAGAATCAATCAAGTCCGCAAGCATCTGAAGAGGTAAGGCCTTGTCATCCTGTCACCATAAGTCCCCCTGCTCAGTTTGTAGATCAACTGATTCCTTCTCTTCCCTTTGCAGGTCTCAGAGCAGTTTTTTCCAACATCCGTAAGTGAGGACCAGCTCCAGGAAGCTCGAACAAAATCCTTTCGGAAGATATTTGGCTCAAGCCAGATCTTTTTAGCCAAGGACGATAAACAATGGCAGTCCAAGCCATGCTCATTCCAAGGCATCGTGCAAGGAAAGGTCGCCGAGCAGTAAGGAAATGGGCCATTACTGTGTTGTAAACTACTTTATCCTGTGAATTTATTGGGGGAGTTGTATGTTTACACTTTTCTTTGTGTTATTATGTCTAAATGTCCAAATAGTAGTAATGTAAACAGTAATATAAACAAGGCACCATTCAGTGTTCACCGGGAACTAAATGAAAGCATCAGGCTCCTCCTACAGCGCTTCCTGTTAACACCTGCATCATGCACCCTGTTATTGGCTGCCCTTCTTTAGCCTGCTGTTTGTAAAAGTATCTGCCAATCACTGAACTGTGCAATTTACATGGCTGCCCATAAAACAATGTGATTGACGTAGCTACAATAAGACAAGGGTACTCAATTTTTGTGCTCCACCTTTTCCACTTAGGGATAACATTAAAAGAAAATGATTTAGGAACAACTATAGATCACAAACTAGGCAACAATGTGCAATGCCACTCTGCCGTTGCAAACACTAGTAAGGTTCTCTCATGTATAAAAAAGGGCTTTTGAGTCACGCGACCAAAATATAATTTAATAATATAAAATTATAATAATAATTTTGCCTTTTTACAAT